CACTAAAACACTGTCAAATATCATTAATGAAAACTAAAAAGAGCAAGACACTACCCTGAATTACCCCACTTCTAACAGGGACTGCGTTCGACAATGAAGAGTTGATTTTAACTATTTGATGTCGATTGCTGAGGAAGGAATCAAACCAGGTTAGTAACGGGTTTTGGACCCCATAAGATGTGAGTTTACCTATGAGAAGTTGGTGGTTGACCATGTCAAAGGCCTTATAAATGTCCAGGTATAGCACTAATACTAGATATCCTTGGCTACGAAGCGAATAGACTAAATTAAAGAAGTCAAAATGACATGTCATACAGGATCGATTTTTAAGAAATCCATGTTGCGAATCATCAATAAATTGCTCAGTCAATAAATAGTTGGATAGTTTGTCAATAATAATTTTTTCCATAATCCTAGAGATAACTGGAGTAATATTTATTGGCCGATAGTTGTTCATGTCAGTCTTATCTCCGGATTTGTAACGTGGTATGATGTACGCGGTTTTCCAACGGTCAGGATAAGAGCCTGATTACATAGAGAGGGTAAACAGTTTAAGGAGAAGAAGTTGGATATCTGGACCACCATATTTGTAGAGAAATGATGAAATCCCGTCTGCACCGTGACCTTTCGAAACCTTGAGCTTATTTATAACCTTACTAATTTTCAGACATGTGAAGGAGATAGATTTAATTGAGTTACCAGTCAAGCATATAACTCTAGAAACAGAGCCATTTATGGATTCTTTGCCATTTGCAAAATTACCACTGAAAAGGTCTGCTATAGTTTTTGGGTCATATATAAAACTATTATTATGCAGGATGCGTGGTATATCAACATTTTGAGTTGATTTAGCACGTTTATTGTAAAGGTGGATTAGGTTTTGCACTTTTGAGCTAGTACTTAGTGCTAATAGCTCTTCATTGATGGCTTTTAACCTATGTTTTTCTTTAATTTGGTTAAAAATTATTGTTATTTGTGTGACTGCCGTGAAGTCGTTAGATTTAAAATAACGTTTCTTTAGGCATCTTAGTTTATTACGATATTTAGCTGGTATATATAATTCGTAATGTTTACTAATCCTGTATGTCTTAATTGGTGCACAGGAGTCTAGACAAGAGTTAACAATGAAATAGAATATGTTGATGGCATCTGTCAGACTATTACATGAGAAAAATTCATCCCAGTCTGAGAGTTTGATCAGTGAGCGCAAGAGGTCCCAGTCTGCATGCTTATAGTCTCTATAATTGCAGGTTCTTTGAATTGGTCGGTTGTAGGAGGGATAGATGGGGAGAGCACAAGCTACTATCCTATGATCACTGCTTTCAAACTCGTTGTATACTTGTACAAATAGGGGAATGATATCTCTACTAAATATTAGATCAAGTGTATTATCACCCCTTGTTGGGGTACGAACCCACTGTGACCAGCAGTACAGATTAAGGATTGATAAAAATTCATCATTGCTAGACTGACAACTACCGGTACTCCAGTTAATCCCAGGATAATTGAAATCACCAGTGATAATCTTAGCACTGAAGTTTAGAGTAGATGCGTGTATAAATGCATTGATAATACGATCATTCAAATTATCAGTACTATCAGGAGCTCTATATATACAACCTAGGAGTAGACTATGGTTTAGGGCATTGATTGATATCCAGATCGATTCTGGTAAACTATTCAAGATACTATCTTCAACTTTATTAGTTGTTAAGGTATCCAAAGCAAATATAAGACAACCGCCTCCTCGCTTAGTTTCTCTGTCACAACGATAGAGTCGATAGTTTTGGATATTTAATTCGGAATCAGCCACTGCTGGATAACACCACGTTTCAGTGATAAGTATAAAAGAAGGCTTGGCTAGAAAGGCTAAGGTTCTCAAGGCTGAGATTTTGTTCAGAAGTGAACGTGCGTTAATGAGTAATAAGTTTAAAAAGGGAGTGTGTAGTGTAAAAAAAACCGAGAGCATCCTTATCGATGGTGTGAGTTCTAGCTATGCCTGGACTATGGTTTAATGTGTTTGCCGGATCGCATGGGCTATAGCATGAGCGAACTGTAATGCTAGTGGAACAAGGGATCTCTGGAGGCCGAAAAAAAATCCTTATTTTGGTAAGGTTGAATAATTTTTTGTACTTGTTTTGGTGGACAATTAAGACAGGTGCCTGCATGTTGGGGTTGCGTTGATGGTGCATAACCTAGTATACCATCTTCTCCACTGCGAGAGTGATGATAAGAGTTACATCTTGCAGGTTTATTATTTATTACATATGGGGGAAACCATGGGGCACGTTGGTTTATTGCCGTCTGTCTAATAGTAGGCCTGCTTCCATGATGGTTGTAGTGGCCGTCTTGTGTAACGTTTGAACGAAACGTGTCCTTATAAACTCCCTTACGATGATTAGGGTTAAGCATAGTTTCAGAAATTATACTTTTGTTTGGTAAAGCCGTTGAAATGTTTTTGGTAATCGGTTTAGAACTAGAAGGTTTTTTATTTACTTTCTTCTTAATTGGTATATCTTTTTTAGGTTTAGCAGTGTTTTTATGAGCCTTCACAATAGAATCAGGTGTACGATCCTTGGCTTCCGATATTACACTGGAAAGAATGACATTACAGTCTCCATCAGATATGTTCTGGTTATCTAGGGCCACTAGGGGTATGAGAGGCAAACTAACACACTGTATTGGTATATCAGTACACTGACTAACATGAGATAAATTAGCTGAACCAGTGGGTTCAGCTGCTGGCGCGATCACATTTGTTGTGACCTCAACAATGTTATTTTCGTTTATGGTACTCTTTTGTGTTAATCTTTGATTGGTGGTTTTGTCTGAGACTATACGAGCGTTTTTAAACTTCGTATGCGCACAGACTAGCTGTTCAGATTCTATCAATCGTTCCGCTAATAAATGGGAATCGAATCTAAACAGGATAGGGCACGAGTATTTTTGATGCTTTTTGTTAAGTCGGATACATTGGCATGGACTGTCCTGGAGGTTAGCTGCCTTTAGTATCGAGTTTCTTACAGTTTTAATGGCAACTTTGTCAGGTATATTATAAATAATCACGTTATTTCGTGAGATTATACGCTTGGTGACTTTGCTAGCTATCGAGTCAATAACGGATTCTACTTTGATCCTGTCTTCGAGTTCAGAAGGAACTATATCGTTTGACAACAGAAGTCGAAGGGGTGACAGTGTCTTTAGTTCTAGTTTAAGATCACCATGCTTTAATAAAGAGCCCGCAAGTGACTCCACTTTAGAACGTATATCATTTAATTGCTTATAGACAGCGGCTAATTCGCTCCTAATAAGATCGATACCATCTGTTCGTGAGTTAGAACTCATTATTAAGTTAGACATAGAGTCATCCAGCAACATGTGTGGAATAAGTCCACTCCCACTATTACCTGGTGCAACAGGAGTAGCAGAGCATGGGGTGTAGGTAAGACCAGAGTTATTAATATCTGAAGAAATAGAACTTTTCCGAGCACGTTTTTGTGTCAGTCGAACCATTTTTTCTTCAAGGATTAATTGAATGGTATTATTGATTTATAAACTAGGGTTTAACGATATATAAGCACTTTATAATAAATACCGTGTCAGCGTAACGCAAATTTCAAACGTACTGCAACAATAATGATGGCATATTCTTCATGACTTTTCATGCTTTTGGTAATATGAACCTGCTACTATCAGACAATGTTTCATTATTTTGCTAAAATATTCCTTATTAGTTTTCATCTATCTTCCAAGTTTGTTACGTTAGTTATTTCACTGAACGATGCTGTTTTACCTTTCATTGTTTGAAGAAATTTATAAACGAGTCCCTACATTAAACTTTATATTGAGCACATGAACTACTTACCTTCATTAAATCATTATACGTACAACATAGAAAAATATATGAGAAACCTTGAACTGTTCAACTTCATACCCATTGAAATCAAATAGTAATAACAAACACAAAAATACAACCGTTTGAAATTGAATAACTTTTAACAATGAATTATTTCATTGATTCAGTCTTTCATCTTATTTGTTTATGACACTCATATAATGTTAAAATCTATGCAATTCTTATGTCATTTGAATTGGTTTATTGCAGTCACATAAAAAGTTTTGAAATAACATAAGAACAGTGACTAACAGTGGAATCCACGTTACGCGTTTCGTCCTATTTGGGACTCGTCAACTGGATGTACCTGCATCTCAAAGTTTATGCTTACTCTAAGACTCAAACCCAGTACCTTTCGCTTCAAATGTCATCAAGTTATCCACTCAGCTACTGAGTCCTGATAACCACTTGCTTGTGTAATGGGTGAAGTTTGATTTCACTTAGTATTATTTGTTTGAATCTTCCCATCCATCTTTGCTTATAGTAAATATCTACATCATAGTAATGAATTATATCAAGAATATGTAACATTAATAATGAGTATATACTATTGACTAATGATAGTAGTTAGAAATTATATACACATCAATTAGATTACATTCAACAATTAGATTAGGCTATCGACAGTTTATGACAGTTTATTCTACTTAACATTGACTTAACTCATCAATTTTAAAAGCAAATCCATTATAATTCCTAAATGAAAACAAGCATTCATTTAAATTTCAATGTCAAATCCTAATGTATTTTTTAAACTTTAAATAAATAACAATAAAACAGATTTCAAAAGGATTTTTTGTGAAGATTTAGTAATTTCATAGTTGAAAGAACGAGTCAGTTGAAGCTAGACCACCAAGGAAAACCTGGAAGCAATTGACGACTTATCATCTAACAGAATAATATGTACTACCTTTTGTACAAAATAGTATTTTTAAAAATTGTGAAAAAAAAATCAATAAAAAAGTTCACAATCTTATCGATTTTTTTAGATTAACCTATGATATTAATAATAGAAATAGAAAATGAAACAAGAAAGACATAAGTGTACATTACTACTCATATATATAAAGGTAGAGAGAGTAATTGATTGATTGAAGGTATCATAAATACATCTATTATTATTGCATAATATCATATTGGCAATAGTTGATTTGTGAACCAACTAACTATCACAATCTTAATGTGGATCAAAACCTTGATTCTTTCATTTAAAATATAAACAATCTAATATAATAATGTGCTGTTGTGAATATGATATCATTAAATATATACTCATTTATTCAATAACCATAATGATGGTAATTTATCTTGTTAGTGGTGAAGATTATCTTATAACAAATGAAGATTTAAGTAAATTAACTGGATCAACGACAACACAAACAACGATTGATCCAGTTTTATTAGAATCCTATCGTAAAAATACAATTAAATCATTTATTATATTTGGTGTAATATTTGGTCTTATAAATATTGCTTGTTGGATTGCATCAATTATAAAAGCGATCATGTAGGTTTGATTCATTTGAATTATTTAACTATACACATAAACCATTTAAAGTAAATAATTGTAAAATGGCTTATTAGTGAAATCAATTCTATAATTTAGCTTATTTTCAAGTTTTCTGATTAGTCCAGATATTTGATGATTAGAGATAAGTAATAGAAAAATTTAGACTAGTGGTATATCCAGCTGACGAGTCCCAAATAGGACGAAACGCGCGTCCTGGATTCCACTGCTAGCCACTATCCATCTTTGCTAGTTTATTTGTTCTCTTCAGAACGATATGCTTGAAACCTCAAAGATATTGATGCCAGTTTATAGGTCCGAAATCTGATCATTCACAAACGTAATAAGAGATGAATACTTGTATGAACTGATTCGTATACACTAATCGGCAACTAAAGAGTGGCCATTGTTATATATTTTGATTATTAGTACTTAATTTCTAACACTGAGTATAACTAGTTGAAATTCTAAAATAATATGAGTTTCTTGATGATCTTTATTTTTTTTAGTGATGAATCCTTTATTATTCAACATTAAGCATCCTTTTTATCAGAGCGGAAATATCAAAGTATTTGACTTCGTGCTTATGCTATTATCTTACCTAATATAGTTTACTAAAATATCCATAATATTTATCTCTTCTTTGAAATCGAATAATTTGAAGTCACTCTGTAAATCATTGAGCATAATAATACAATCTCTGTCATTCAGTTAATATTTGTAATTGACTTGAAAGATGATATGTTTATTGTAGTACAGCAAAACAAAGTGACTGTAAGAATACATATAATTCAACAATAATTCAATATTCTGGTCTCATGAGTATCGATCTTACATTTAATAATAGCACTGCTGAGGATTCCCATACTAAAAAGAAACGGCTGTCCAGTGCTTTCAGGTTTTCCATGGTGGTCTAGCCTTAAATGACTCATGAATTTAGCTATTAAATCGTTTTGGAATGTAACATATTGAAATATTCCAAAGTCAAATCTAAATATGAAAAGCATACTAGACAGAACACATTGTATGAACACTTTTACAATTAACTGTGTACTACACATAGATTACGGAATTATATCAATCCTTTTGGTTAAATCAGAGGTTAACAGTAGATAGATTTACCTTTTGAATATATATAAGAGATATAGATACCGTCGTTATCTCTTTATTTTGTAATATTATTTAACAATATTACAATGAATTTCTATACCTCTGGTGACGATACTGAGACTAAAAGATGAAAGTGTAATAGTGACTGTAAGCAACTTAAGGCTGCCCTATTTCGTTCAATGGCCCATACTCCTAAAACGAATCCGTCATCTATAGTAAATTAACGTAACAGCAACTATCAATCAAGATAGACTCAGAATCCTTTAAAAATCAAGAGAAATAGCTTTTCGGATGAAAAAAACAGTCTTTGCATGCAAAGAAAGTCAATTCATCCTCTTTTCTCATTGTGGCCGACCTCAAACCCAACAAGTCAATAATTTGTGCTGATTATAAGATGTTTAAAGCAATTAGTCCCTTTTATAAATTTCGATAATGTAATAAGAAGACGAAGATTATCAGAACTATGTGATATATTAGCGCAATACATTTCGAACAATCTGATCACACATATACTTGTTAAGAACATTTATATATAAAAATAAAAGGTCGTGGACGGGTCAATATCTTAGTTACTATAGTTATTGCCCTGTACAATACAAACGTGGTTTGGTAAAGTGCCTTTTTAACAGGCTTCGTCGTATTTGCACAAACGACGCTATTGATGACGATTTTAAGTTGTTAACCAAGACATTAATCGGGAATGGTTATCCACCTAAATTTATCAATAGATGGAAAGTTATGGGCACAGCGAGACCTGCTGTAGCCTTGGTAGAGAAAAAGCCTGTTTACATCACCTTACCATTTAGAGGTGATTCAAATAGCCTTTTACTGAAACAAAGGCTTAAATCAGTCATCAAACAAAACGTATTGTGCAACTAAGGTCGTAATCAAAGAAAAAACGAGGTCCATGCTTCATTCAAAACCTAGACGACATGAAAACGATTGTGTCACATCCCACTGCGTTTACCAATTTAAATGTGTGTGTGGTCACACATACATAGGGAGTAGCAGTCGTGATCTGAAAATTAGGATGGGTGAACATGTACCAAAATGGTTGCAAAAACAAATACAGTCGAATGACCCAATAAGAGTAGAGGATAAACACCATCATCCTCTATTGCTAAACATATAATCGAAACAGGTCATAAGATTGATCTTAACTCAGCTTTTGTTGTGTTGTTTAAAAGTATAAAAGGGCGTATACTGAGGTTTATTGAAGCCTTAGCCATACGAAAATTCAAACCCCCCTTGTGTATTCAAAAACAGTTTGTTCTCTCCTTAAACCTACCCTGGTAATATTAGCTTATTATTCAGAGTGATTGTTTTCACATTATTTTATCATTATTATCCTTGTCTTTGTACACTAGTAATTTCAACATTCGAATTTCATTTTATTTTACTAGTAATACTGGACTCATATAATGTTTAAAAGAAATACTCACCATAAACGTATTTTTTTCCTGCAGAACCCGATGAGGAATTGTTGAAAGGAATATTCTTCTTTTATACATTTATCTTTTTACAATAATGGGAACTTTTAGAGAATTTTGAAAGTGTTTATTGCACCATCAAGGTTTTTCTACCGGAATTCACAAACGTCAATGGTTTCAGTCTTAAGCAGTGAGCTTTAAGTGATCAATAACAATGTGAATAGTTCAGTTTATTTCAGGAATCTTGGATTTTAATATTGGACCCAGAGATTCTCTGACTAGCCTGTAGTATATAGAGATTATAGATAGCTTTACATAAGTACCTCCCAAGTCTGTGAGATTCTAGACACTCTCAGGGAGTTATCATTCAAGTTCTGTCATTATAAATTTCGATATTACCAAAAGTAATCATCATGAAACAGTAACCTGGATAGTCTGTTATCACATATTATGTCCTACAAACTTACAGTAGCATTCTTGGTACAAAATATATAGTAATCTAAAGTACATATTAGTACATAGTTACGTAAATCAATGAGATAGGTAGAACTAATGCTTCTACTGAAATCTTCTTTGATAAACCTGTGTGAAATTAATTCTAAATAATTACGTAAGAGATAAATGCAAATGTTGAATTGTTTGTGTGAAAAGTCCCCTAATTTACATAATATGATTTCAAACTAACAAAGAAAAGTGTTCTATTAGATTATATGTACTAGAAATGAACTGAATTATTGTACTTTAGCAACATACCATGAAAGAAATAAAATCCAATTTAGGTAATGAGAATAATTACAAGGTATTTGTTGAATTATAAAATTATTGAAACTGTAAATAATCCATTCTGTATTTTAATTAGTTTAATAGAGAGAATAATAGTTTTCTTTATGGAGTGACATCAGTTTCGAAAAATTCATTGTTAAATAAGACTAAATAGACACTTCTTATCAAAAGGGGGTTTTGTGAAGATTTTAGTAATTTAATCGTTGAATTCACGAGTCAATTAAAGCTAGAACACCAAAGGAACTTGGAATCACTGAACGGCCGTTTCGTCCTGGTGTGGGACTCCTCAGCAGTACACATCCCCGATCCCACCAGCAAGATTCGAACCAAGAACCTATAGGTCTCTCGTGCTAATCCCGCGAGCGGGATCATGGATGAGCACTGCTGAAGAGTCTCACATCAGGACGAAACGCCCGTCCAGTGCTTCCAGGTTTCTTTGGTGTTCTAGCTTTAATTGACTCATAAATTCAACTTTTTGTCAAGGCATCTAAGATTTCTTTAGTGTTCATTTACTTATTTTCTGGAATAATATTGAAATTTTGATCTTTATATTGAGCAACTTAGCTCAAATATACTTTAAGTTAAAAAAAATTAAGAATAATCATCATTATATAAGAACTCTTGTCTAAATTAGAGCGAATAGTTTCACAGTATTTGAGCGCCGAGTTGATGTAAGACATTAAATAGGAATAATATATTTGTGAAATCTCAGCGAATGAATTTGTAGTAAATCCAACGTTTCGCCTGGCAATCTGTTCCAAGCTTTTTCAAGGAATTAATTAATCGCTGAGATTTTACAAATATATTATTCCTATTTAATAATCATCATTAGTTTTTTTTCAATCTACATACAATCGAAATTGTATTTATAAGATATGTAACAGTATTAGAATACTCTAAACGTAATGAACGAAGTTTTATAAACTTAAAACAGTTTTAAGATCAGTAGCCTTTCATTTATAGCCAATAAGTTCTTCCTCCTAATCGACATATATATATAAGTCAGACTGTAATGTTATTACTCCGTACTTCAATTTTTTTATGTAACGCAATATGGGATATTGTAGGTAATTTAGGATTCAACTCTCCCCTCCCCCAACATAGCTCTATACTTTACTTAGTATTGTTTGTTTGAATCTTCCCAGAGTGAACATCAACTCTGAGATGCAGGCACATCCAGCTGACGAGTCATAAATAGGACGAAACGCGTAACGTGGATTCCACTGCTAGCCACTATCCACCTTTGCTTATGGCTCTTTACTGTTTACGTTTACATTTGTGACAACTATATATTGTTATTCCTAAAGTAATGAATGTTGGCAAGGTAACAAATTTCTACTAATATGATGAGTAGATATAACCCATAATGTATTCAAAGATTTTGTCTCGATCTTCTAAACTTCTCAAAACATTTATTCTGGGAATAGATATGAATGAAAAATTCAATATGTGACCAAAGCAAAAGTTACGTTTATTCTTTAAGAAAATTCATTATAAATTCCTCGGTTATAATTCAGTATTTCTTAAGCTTAAAACAATTTTATTTTCTACAGATGTAACTTCAATAATTCGATATACTTTTATTTGTTTATTAACTTTTTCTTGTGAAAAAAACAGAGACAGACGAAAAATAAAGAAGAGAAATTTAGCTCGTCAAGATGCGAAACGTTTCAAAACTGAAAGTCATCGAAAATCAGTTCTAAAAGATTTAATAGATCCTGAACCACCAAAATTAATTCTACCAAGTATTGTTGATAGTGCAGTAAAAAATTATAAAAATGTTTCATCAACAACTCCAAATCTAACAGATTCTCCAATTCATCATTTTTCAAGATGTTCAACTTTACGACGTTCTGGTTCACTTAAACGATCAACACAGAGTGAAATAGATGAACCAACAGAAAAAGATTTATTTGTTAAATAAATTAATTCTTTTATATTTCAATAGTATTCTACGTAGTTTGTGTTTTTTTTCAAAGTAAAATACTTTGTTCCATCACTTTCTTCATCAAGTGAATATCCTATGGAATACTTTTAACATATATTATCTATTAATTGCTATTATGTAACTTATTACCATTTTTAAATATCCTAAAGTTATTGAATTACTTTAAACAGTAGTGTGTATCGGTAAATTTAAAAATTTTGTTACTATTTACATGTAACCATAGAAATATTTAAATATATTCAAACAATATGTTCAACAGAAAAGTGTTTATATATAAATAAATGCTTTAATGTTAGATAATTAATTTTGTATTAATTTTGTTTATGTTATTTTGCAAATAGACGTTTTGCTTATCTTCAGATTAAAATTAATTTTAAAGTGTTAAAATACAAGAAAACTAATACCAGCTACTCAAGAGGATAAGTATACTGAATGGTTGCTTAATTTCTTGGATTGGTTGAAGTTAGACAATAACACCGTCGGATGCCTGCTCAGTGGTCTAGTGGTTAAGTTCTCGCGCGTGAGACTGATAGGTTGTGGGTTGGAATTTCGCTAGGCGCGATCGTGGATGCGCACTGCCGAGGTGCCCCACAATAGGATGAAACGGCTGTCCAGGGCTTCCAGGTTTTCCATGATGGTCTAGCTTCAATTGACTCATAATTTCAACTAAATAAAATTACTGATATCTGTCGAGACTTCTTAAATTGAATGATAAATAAGTGACAACCAGATTACTCATATATTAAATAATGAGTAAAAATGAGAACTAGTGTATGCATTTTATACCGATTAGAAACCCGTCAAAAGGATTAACCTCTTTTTGTAATTGTTCCTAATGAAAAATGATGGTAGTACTAACTCTATAGGGTGTAATACACCTATTTTGTTGTTGTAGAAATTTTAAATTTTTCTCGTCAATAGTCATGATTACTACAATAAGTATCCTTTGGAATATTATCATTGATTTTAAAAAAAACAAGTCTAAACTAACCAGATTGAAATGTAATTAATACTAGATGGTTGTAAGTGGCAGCCATAGAACTGCAGATTTACATTTCAGGGCTGTTGGCACTCGTCAACAGAACGTAATTGAACCGTTAAAGAAACTGACACTTTCGATCAGATTTGAACACACTTAGCTCTGCTTCATAGCTTAAGGTTGATGCCAGCTAGTAATAAAGCTGGGTTCAGGGTTTCCTACTGGCTACATTGAATCATTCTACAGAGTAAATGGTATGTTGAATCATTGAAACTAGTGGGTACAGGGTAACTTGATCGACAAAATTCAATCAGTACTAAAGGACGAATACGAAATTGGCCACAAGTACTCAATGATCAACCAGCTATGAATTATACTTAATGTTTAGAACTGAATATGTAAGAACAGTTTAAAAGGAGATTTCACATAAACTTCTAATGTTCAAACACTATGTCTTACATCTATCAGTAACAACAATCATCATTACCAGGAGCGTCTTTCTATGATGTGAAAGCATGATTGGAAAAATCTGATAACTTAATAACACATATAACAATCTAAATCTTATACATCTCCGTATTTACGAAGTAGTATGGTGTTTCCGAATAAAATATTAAAAAATAATCAACTTTATTTTCATAATAATCACAGACATGTGTACATAGATCCCCTTTTAAATCTTAGTAAAAATAATGATATAATTATGAAATCCCAATAAGTAGAAAATAAAATTTCTAACATTTCGTGAAAGCCAAGTCTTAACAGAATATATAAATTATCAAGAACCGACCCAGCTGGGCGACAAAATACCAGATTTTTGACTATAAGATTGCAGGTTCCAGTGTAGTGAACAAGAACACGACTGGGGACAATCGAGTGTACTTAAGCACAACATTACAAACTATCTCACTAAAATCTGATAACCATGCAGTAAACAGTTAATTTGCAAAATAACAACTAATTGTCTCAATCTTAACTGTTCCTTCTGTAAATATCTGATTTTATTGTTCATGTATTCTCATACCGATTGTGCTTCATTCCTGTTCGTTCATTATCGATGTTCTGCCAAAATACATTCTATGTCTGGCCATCACCATATACTACTTCTGTGGACATAAATAGACTACACCACACTAGTACTATACCATTCACTTTAATAAAAAATAGTATTACTAATCCAAGATTATGAAATGTGACATAAATTTGAGAATACAAATTAATATATAAGTAGTATAATTTTATTTTTATTATTCCCTTATAAATATTTTTATTTCAATTCAATATTTTTTTTTAAAAAATTTTGTCAAATATGAGAATAAAAGTCACGCAATAAAACATTTTATCATTATCAAAGGAATAATCACATGAAAATTCAACATTCAATACAACTAATCTTCTACTTCTTCATTTTATTGAATGAAATCAAAAATCATACTTTTTAAAAATAAGAAAGATTATTTAACCTTAGATAATAGATTAATTAATTAAATTTTTCGGTTCACAAATCATTCATTTTGAGAATATCAGTAACTGGTTAGAAGTTATAATCGTTTTCTTTTTAAACTTGAAATTCTAACCATGACCTGAATTTCGAAAAAAAGAAAATCATAATAATTAATTTCTAAAATTAATACTTAATCAGCTTTTCTAACAAATCTAGTTAAGAAAGAATAACAATGATTCGTATTCATATAAGTAGTTTATTTATTTATTTAAACACATAAATATTGGTACAAAGGGGCACCAGATATATATGCACCACACAAAATATTATCATTTCATTTAATTGTGTGAGGGCTGTGATACTACTTGGGTGCCCAAACCGAAGCAGGTAGTTTTCTCAGGGGCCACATCCAGAAGATTTGACCTGAATATGTGATCCACAAGGCAGTGGAGCATCGTAAGGACATGTAGTCCCATGGTAGCCGGTGACCAACGATTGATTCATAATTCATTTCTTACTTCAGGATACTGGAGCCCATGTGCACCATTGGTTTGGAATCAGGGTTTTTTAAGTCCCCTAGGTGGACTTTCCGTGTCCACCAACCCGGTTAAAGTGCCGGACATTCACTTTTCGTAGACAACACCCCTGGTGTGAGAAGGCAGTAAGTAGGGCTTCCCTGGCAGAGATTATATACGTGTGGCCATGTGAAATCACGTCGAGAGGGAGAGTGAACTCTCACCACTTTCGGCCGTACGAGCGCATTCAGGGGTGATTGCTGAATTTTATGATATACATCACAAGACTACTATTGAAAACCAAGAAACACCTAATCACTGTTTTATTCTGGTATCGGATTCCATAACACAATATATCCACTAAGTATCAAACACAGAACCTTTGAATTTCTTCGTTTAACTTCAATTGATGTTGCACAACAATCTCATATTGCCTGCAGTGGATAAATGTCTCGTATTCGAAATAGTCATACTCTACTAGTTAAAGCTTGTCATTGGGACTCCTAGAATGACCTCTCAAAATTAATTCCCTAAGACCATATGACTGTTATTAGTGTACTAAGACAAAGCAAATGCCCAGTGTTTCTGAAGTTAGATCAATGTAGTAAACCATAAGAGACAATGAATTTCAGTGGTAGCTTTTCAGATAATGACATAATTAATCAGATGAATTATAAACTGTCATAACTTTCCTAATGTACATTTGTTTTAAAACTCAGTATTTTCTTCTGATACTAATTTTAAACATCACTCCCTATGTACCTTTATAAACTCAACGGAAGTTTTAGTGTGAAATACTTTTTGTATATAGTTTTTAATAAACCAAATAATAGTCAAATAGCTAACTAACTATCTAGTTACTACCTGGTCATTCGTTGTAAGTAATAGCTTATCTTTTAATCAATATACATTTGTCAATAAACTTTTAGATTTGTTTGACCAATTGGAATTTTGACATTTAAATTGTGGTCTTTTCATTTCAGTATTTTAACTTGTTGTTTTCTAATCAATAAGTCATTACAATTTTTCATTGATTTAATAACTTACTTTTTCTTATTTTTAGTAACTATCGTTTCATTCTATCCCCTTTTGTAAAACCAACTTGAAGGATTTTTATCTATTAGCTTTTAATCAATAAGTATATAGCTGTATAGTTTGAAAATGCTACATTTATCATTCATCCTTTTTTTATTTAAATGTGTCTCCTCAACTCTTTTTATCCTCTATGATTCCTCAATCGATCAATTAATCGTTGATATTTATATGATTGTCGAATTAACATTTCATCGTCATTACAAATGGTATAAGCAACAACAATATATGTAAATTTTAAGTATTACAGATGGGAAAGTTTCAAGTGTTGTTTTTTGTTGTTTACAGTGGAGAGGAAATCCGTGACATGTAACGAAATTTAGTTCTACCGGATACCCCTTACTAATTCTAATCACTGAATATCTCAAAATAGTGCACACAATAACGGATCGTTCAAACTAATGGTCATATTGTAACTTGACTGAAAAAAATCGATCACTGCTAATCATTGGTAAATCAGTTGTTGATTCCTATTTAATAGTCAGATTCATGAATCGATATATGTTAGATGAATATTGAAAACCTAGAAGTACTGGACGGACATTTCGTCCTATTATATGGGACGCCTAGACAAGGCGCATCCACGACTCGCAAATGAAAATCAAACCCAGGACTTTCGGTCCCGCACGCGAACGCCTAACCTCTAGGCCACTGAACTGGCATCCAACGGTGTTAATGTCTAACTTTACTATTGACTGGTTTCAAAATGGTTTCCTGGATCTTGGTAAGAAGCCGTGGCTACCGGAGTGTAATCCGTATCGGATAGAGATAAGTATCTACTTCGCACAATGGATGAATGGTTGCGCGAAATCATGGATCGATTGAATTTAGACATTAACACCGTTGGATGTCAACTCAGTGGTCTAGATGTTAAGTGTTCGCATGCAAGACCGAAGGTCTTGGGTTCAAATTTCTAGTGAGGAGTCGTGGATGCGCACTGTTGAGC